ATTTTAACTAGCAAAAATCAGTGACAATTGCTATTTCTTAACATGACAAGGCATCTAATCCATTTAACAAAACAGCCTTTTACAAAAAAAGATTTTCTACTCAGCAAAGAATATAAGGTTACAATGATAAAACAGTAATCCAAACTGTCTCCAATTTTAAATATTCTGTAAGAAAGGGCTTTTCTTCCTTTTACAAAAACAAAAAACCTGCCATTTCTACTGACATAATTTTCTGTCATGTACTAATTCTCATCCAAAGCTCTAGTTTCAAATTCTTGAAAACAGGAACCATTTTCTGAAAATGCTACACTGCCCTCCCCAAAAACCTTACCTCAGAAAATTAATAATCTTAGTGAATCTCAAAAGCTTCAATACAAAATGTTGAAAAAGACATACAATCATATTTCAAGAGGATTACTCAGACAGCACTAAATTCAAAAAATGCCATGAGGCCATTGATAAAGACAGGTGCCCATTTGCAGAAAATGCAGGTTATCAAATTCCCAATTCTAGAGCAGTAGTTCCCAAGATGTGGTCCAGGGAGCACACCTACAGGGTGTCTACAAGGTAAAGACTATTTTCTTAATGATACAAAAAATGCTATTTGCCTTTTTGAATCTCTTTTTCTCTCATGGATGTATGGTGAAGTTTTAATTTGAAATGGTAAATTTTCAACAAATATAATCTACATAAATAATACTGAGGGTCCTCAATAATTTTTAAGAATGTAAAAGGGTCCTGAGACCAAAAAGTTTGAGACCCCACTGTTCTATAGGTATATTAAGGCCATTAAGAGCAACAGTTTATAAAAGGGCTCTGCTCAAAAAAATATCAAATTCTCACAAGAAACTTCAAAATTATGGAAGTTAGGGTATCATTTACCTAAAAATCATGCCCTCTTTCCTTGATCCTACTGCTGGAAAAAAAAAAAGTGATGCCCAACATCCTTTTCCCACAAATGCACTTTATATAGCAGCCAACAAAAAGTTTACCTGCTTATAAACTAAATATGATATAATTATGTATTCCTAAAGCTATATTTTCAGTTATCTCTACTACAAAGTGAGATCTGAAAACTTAAAGTAAAAGAGAAAATAAAACTTCAAATATAAACGAACATATACTTAAGTAACTATCACTTAGCAATTATCATTATCTAAAATAACCAGGAAGATTAAGACACAAACACTGGCCACAAGGCAACAATGATTAACTTTCATCATATTTTTGTAAAATCAAGATCATATGAATAGGAAATTTAGAAATTTAAGTAATAATCTCAATTGATTAGTTCTTTAATTAAAATTTAGTATCTAGTTTGAGCAATACAATTTAAATAGAATCAGAATCATCAAAAAATTATTGTAGACTTTATATAATAGAGTTGTAAAGAAAAACACAGTTATCAAGCTTTTAGGCAGAATGTTATTCTGGGAGAAAATTAACTTTCTATAAGCTCTTCTACATGGGCACTTTTCCCAGAAGTGCTTCAGAATTTCATTCCTGGAATGTCTTCGG